CCCCCCCCCCCCCGCCCCCTCCAACCTGCCCCGCCCAGCTGCTGTGACCACCACGGACGTGGTGTTAGCCCTTCTGCCTCCGCCCCATCCAACAATGCTTCCTCACCTTCACATCTATTATAAACATGAAACTCATTCTACACCACCCTAAAACAGGCATTGCACACAACTACCAAATGCAAAGCCTGTACCTAAATCAACCACCTCCGTTCTCTATCCTCTCTCGACATGCTCGCTACAGCAACCCTGCTACCTCACTGTGCACATCGAGCATTCTACTGCTACTCAGTGAGCTCCAAACGTAGTTTAAAGGGATTCTGGCTTCGCTGGCGTTGCAGCCCTCACTCACCGCTTTCATCATCATCTGAGGATTCTGATCCCACTTCCGCCAGTGCTTTTCGAAGTTGTTCTTCCCTTTCCTGAACCCATACCCAATTCCAAACACACACCAATTCCATTGACACACAACCCACAAAACCCGGCGCACTTCATAGTCATTTCACTTGTACGTGTAAACACCTTGAGACAATCCATCACCATAGACGGTCGCGCCAGATTTGTGAACGGCAATTGCCAAATGCACCGAGCGTTTAGAATCCAATGTCTTTTCCATCGTTCTTCCTAATGGTTGGTTTCCAGCCTTTCCCAGTTTCATTTACAGCACATGAGATCTGCAAAGTCTGTCATGTAATGCACATCATAACTGTCATGATGTGCCTTGTCTAGTTTTCAACAAGATCACAGAACATGCCGTGACAGAGCATTCAGTCTCTCAAGCCCTCAGGTACCTAAACACTTATAATTTCAACAGGAGCTTGTTACCTTGTTCCCCCAACTAGAATGTGCGGTCATTATGGCCGTATTTGGGCTAACTTCCAGCCAAGATACAGCGACAATGACCATGCACTCGGGGGAAGAAGGTAGTGTTCATGAGGATCGCACATCACGAGCTTTCATGCACGTCATTATTATCCACACCACCTAAACGCACACAAACCTCTGCATGTCATCATGCTCTTTCATGTGAGAAATTGCACAACCCCGTTTTTTCGTCATTCACCCCAATTCAACAATAGAATCCTGAGGCGACATGAGACTCTAAATAAACAGACCAATGGTGGCTCAGATGGAAGAGTAGAGCTGCAGAGATAACAGTTCTTCCACATCAATGGCATTTTCAAAGGCAAAATGGACCATCAAGCAACTGTGTCCCTCAGCATGAGCCGAGGACGGTGAAAAATGAGTGGACGAAAGACAAGGTCACATCCATGTCCATGAGAGAGACATAGGCAAGTAATTGAAGGACCCATAACCCTCCTCCTCCTGCCCTGTCACTGACGCTTCAGCAACATGACCATCTCCATCTCCACCTCCATCTTCCTATTCTCCTCCTCCTACCTCCTCTGTGTTTCTTCCACCCCCCTCTCCGCCATTTACATGGCCCTTCTCCTAAGGGTCAGTAAACCTTCCCTCCTGTTCAGCACTGTACCCTCCTCCAGTAGCACAGCAACCTCCTCCTCCTCCTCCTCCTCCATATCCCAGTTCACACTACTGCCCTTCCCGTCTCTTACTCCATTCTGTCCATCTTCCACCCCCTCCCCTCCAGAACGTCGCTTGTCCTCCCCGTTCCATTCTCCCCCCCTCCTCGTTTTCACCCCCTCAGCCTAGTCCTTCGCACTGTTACACCCACAGTCAAATTTTGTCCACTGCCTTTAAAAAAAACTCATTGCACCTGTTCTGCTTGTCCCCGAACCATGTCTCCTCCTTGCCTCATTGCATCCAGTTCTCTTTCCGCTGCTTTCTCCCCTCTTCCCGATGGTCTTCCTGCCTGTCTATTCGTTTGCCACAACTTTCTCAGTCTCATCCTTCACACTGTTACACCTATAGACACTGTTCTCCTCTCCCTTGCAAATATTGATTGCGCCTCTGCTGTTTCCCCCATCCATTTCTTCTCCTTACCCCATCCCTCCGGCATCCTTATCTTCCTGATTTGTTATCTCGCCTTCCACATGCTCTTGCCAGACCCCCTTTCCTCCATCCACCATCCAACCCTCTATTGTTGTCATCATGCTATTTAATTTGCTACTCGTGGCCAGAAATCTTATGCACATGCTCACCATAAATACTATAGTATTTGTGCACCCACCGTCAAAGCTACGGTCTCTGTATTCATCTGAGACTGCAGTTATTCGCACCCCTTCTCCCCACTCCCTCCTGTTTCAAACCTTTCCGCAACCCAGTTTCTTCGGAGTATCGAGGATAAGTGCAGGACGCTACAGCTCCAAATAGACGGGGTACAGCGCCGCCACCACGGCTACAAGTTGTCCGTCCGACAGCAGAGGCAAGTCTCCACTCACAGGCCAGTCAGTCTACGACGCTTGCTAAGCAGCAATCAGCTGTGTTGAGGGTGAACTGCGCTAGGGACGTCTGCGCACAACACCTAACCCTACAACAAGAAACTTCCATTTACTGATGGATGGGTACTTTCGTCACAAACTACAGAAAACAAGACGTGAACGCGTCCTACAAAACTCGGCAAGCGGCCAAGAAACTTCCATGCGCTTACAAATGGATAGGTACTTTTGATCACAAACTAATGATAAGAAGACAAACGCGTACCTTGAACATTTGTTTAGCTCGTTCAAGCTCCTTTATGTCCTGGACATCATCCAAGTTCTCCACCTGCAGAGAGAGACCAAGCATATACCAGCACACATTTCGCCGTCATTAGCCCCCAACCAATCCTTGTTCCCCAACCTTGCAAACCCTGTGTACATATAGTTGAAGCAATGTTTGATAGCAAACTGACACCCTTGAATGCACAGGACAACCAACAACCCCCACAACAGGATTTCATTTTGCGCACCTTGCAGCAGTAGACCTTCATGTATCTGCTGAAAGATAACCCATGCACCCACTCCCTCCACACCCCCAGCCTAAACCTGGAGAACGACAACTGTATTCGGAATATTCATTTGGATAGCGAGGTCGCTTCAAGCAATTCAAAAGGCAGGGAAGCACATTCAACATACAGCCCCCAAATGACAAACGGCCAAGGTAAGAAAAGTCAACAAGGGAAATCTGGAACCTCATGTTTCATGACTTTCGTCCTTCGGGACATCCGTTAAACAGGAACGATACAGAGGAGGAAGATTAGCATGTCCCGTGCACACAGATGACAAGCATAAATCGCAAAAAAAAAGGTCAAATAAAAAGAAAAAGGAACCTCATGTATCCCGCAAATTGGGGAAAATAATGGCTACCAGAGGACCAGACAGCAGACCCATTCAGACACCAGACGGTCTTCGGACTAAGTCTGGATTATCTGGATGTATGTGGACCAGGAGTTGCCTGATAAAATAATACGTAACTTTCTCGTTTTGATTCTTGTCCTCAACTACAGTTAGGAAATTACAAAGTGGTCCTCAGCCAAACTTGTACGTCTTGCAATGCTGCATGACATTGACGTTGCATTGCAAGACGTTCAATTTTCTTTTTACCTTGTTTTTTGAAAAATCAACGAGTGCCAAAATAAGAAGCAAAATTAGGCTGTTTTTTTTTCCGGGCACCCAGGCACCCAACTTATGCCCGGGTACACGCCCGGGTGCCCGGCCGGGCATGACCTCCGGGCAGGGTTCCGGGCAGCCCCAGCGCCAAAAAAATTAAAAATTTTAAAAAAATCCAAAAAAATCCGGAAAAAAAACTTGTTGTGTAGAATTGCAATACAAACGTTTTTTGGCTGAGGGTCACATTAGAATTCCTCACAGAATCGGAGATAAAAAATAAAATAACGGAATCACACTAAGGCACCCCCCTTTAAACCCCTTTAGCCCCTTTAAAACCAATTTTTACCCCCCCCCCCCCCGCCCTTGACAGCCAACGCGCAAGAAAATAAATGAGCCCGGATTTGGGGTCCTCTGGGAGACCGCAGAAAACCAGGGAAAACAAAGAAAATCTTTTTTTTTTGTTTTTGTTTGCACGCCCGGGTGCCCGGCCGGACGCGAGAATCTTCCTAGAAAAAAATCCAAAAAATATCATACTGCAGAGGATTCCAGACCCCAGGCTGCAGATCATCTGGACCACAGTCCAGATGTTCGGATGGTGGCAATTGGGAAAATTTTCGACTCTGAAACCGTTCCCTCACCTTCTTCGCTAGCTCTTCCAGTATCTGAGGGTCTCCCTTTGCAGGTCTGAGATTTCCTGCCCCACCGCCTACACCCCGCCTAACATCTGCACCATTTTCCATTGGCAGAGGTGCAGCTCCCTTGGACCCTGGAACCTTGCCCAGCACCCGCCCAGGCATTCCTGGAGCACTGCCCCTATGAAACCGCCCACGTCCCCCGCCTGCAGGGATAGGCGGCTGTACAGGTGCTGTCTCTGTTCCCGCCGCCCTGGTCATAGTACTCGCTGACCTCCTCATCCCGCGGCCAGAGCCGGCCCTTCCCCCCCCTGCATCTGTTTGCTGTGGAAGCCCAGGTGACCCCAATCCATGCCCCTTCGTCAAAGGCGCACCCGCAGGTCCATCAATCCAGGCAAAGTCCTTCGTATCCATGAGCTGAAGTGAAAGAGCGAAACAACAGACGGAGAAATCGCGTAAACAGGGTCAATGGCAGAACCTCAATACAGACTGGCATGCAAGAGACAAGGTATGTCACATGTAAGTTTACCACCAATGCAGATTCGATAACGCATGTTCCACAACCACATAAGTCGCCCGCTGAGACGCACATACAAGCAGAGACGACCTCATTTGTTCAGAATAATAAGGACTGGCCATTGTAATTGGGCCTATCACAATTGTGATCCAACACAAGAGCACCAGAGCCTCCATCAAGCACAATGCATGGAGGGAAAACCCTGCCACTCACTCTGACGACTGCCCGGTACATCTCAACAGCTTCCAGACCACAACCTCACATTAATTATATATCCGCAAACCAGCAAGCAAACATAACGTGGTGGATTGATGAAGCTTGCAGAGTCCTCAAACCACAGCTCCTATTGAAGCACCCCACTGTCGATGACTGCCAACTACGTGCCAGAAATCTTAGAGAAGCTGATAGTGATGGATCTATTTACTGCGCCAAATCCCAAATCAACAGCAAAATGCATGCAGTCCACGTGCTATTGTTACACTTGTTACTCGGGTTCTTCCTTAACCGTTCTAGCCAGAATGCCCTCCTGAAATGTGAATGATAAAACAAAAAGGTCACGAACAAGACAAGTGGAAATTCATCATGTCGATTTACTTGTCAATCTGTTCTCTGCAATTGTTTTCAAGCCCTTCTTTGTGAAGCTACAAATTTGTCGGATCTGAGATAGGCCCCATGCTAAATATATATCCTGATACTGGCTGTGTCCTAAATATAACCACCCCATCTCGCCCATACGTTATGAGAGCCTGCATGGCTACAAGTAACGCAGGCTGACGTTCATCCGTTGCAACTTCTGCACTTGATCATCTATCAATGGAAGTCGGCCCAGCTCAACACGAACGACCCACGAGGTACCCATAGCCATCGCCCAACCAGTAAGAGCGACAGGTGAACCCCATGCCCCCACTCGTTCCAAACGAGGGCTGTGTGGGAGCAAGCACCATGACTGGTCTCTGTACAGATTTGTCCTGAGATCCCAGTCTGCTATGTCACCACAAAGGCGAGGCAAGCACACACAAACACAGTCGGAGAGACTCAAAGAAAAGGGCCCCGAAGCAGGACCCAACTGATGTATGAAAGGTGATTCTCTGCTGCCACGCAGCGTAAGGCAACCGGTCACCCGCATCTTGTACACATGGGAAAGCAAGGGCATAAGGAAGAAGGTGGAGGAGGCGAGCACCGATTAACAACGGGAGGGAGAGAGATGAGGATCGGCGCGGAACTGAGGGGACCAAGGTCAAGGAGCATGACAACGAGGTTTGCTGCCGCAGCCAAGAAAATAGACAGAGAGCAGGGAAGGCACTCAGAGAGGATCCGAAGACAATGGAGAAGAGAACCGTGACAGCCTCCTCACAACTGGTCATGCCAAGCTTGGCGGCAACTCCGATTAAATCCTGCAGTAACTTCAAATAGATTCCATGCATGATTGAGAGAAAGAGAGAAAGAGGAAGAAGAGCAAGAAGAGGAAAAGATGTGCGGAGACGTAGGAGCAGCAAGAAGAGCAGTTTCCATCTGCGATTTCAATGGCATCCCCAGTGCTTATCATCATCCCTTCGTCAGCTAGCTGTCTTCTGCAGGGGCAGGTTTGTAAATAAAGAAGAGTGCCAGAGCATGTTTCAAATTTGGCAACAGGGCGAAGGAATAGGTTAGAAAATCTGCAACGGATGGCACAAATGCAATCCCTAACTTATTGAAATTTCCAATTTGTCCGTAACTGCTGCCACACTCTGTTCAGGCTACGGACTGCCTATACCTTATCGGCTACGAACAGAACCTATTTACTGATCCAATAGGCAAGTCCAAATGTTGCACATAACGCTATTGACCAATCATCTAGTCAAGCCGACCCCCCCCCTTGCATTTCACCCGATTCTGTTCAGCCCCCGCTTGCAGGCAGCACTACACCAACGCTCAGCGCACAGGATCACTAGCAGCTCAACAGACATCGAAAGGGGGGAAACTTCAAAGAACGCACCCAATACATGCGACCAGGCAAACCAAACTCAGGCACAATAAGGAGAGAGGTACTGACAGCCAAGTTACCTCCTTCAGATTGACCCATTCTGTTGTTGTATCAATGTCATACAGCAACTCATGCATGCCCTACAAACGTGCAGGATAACAACACAAAAAACAATCACCTCAGCCTCACCTTAGTCCATCGAAATTTGTACACAAAAGAACAACGAATTGCAGACAATGAGACAACTACTTATGACCCCCAAAGCTGATTCCATCTTAAGCTGACACGTTTCACAACACCAGGCCACCCCTTGTCTGCTTCCTTGCTGGACACAAACCACCACATTCCCAGCCCTGTGTTTCTAGTGAGTCCTCTTACATGTCGCTTCCTCTCTCTCTCTCTCTCTCTCTCTCTCTCTCTCTCTCTCTCTCTCTCTCTCTCTCTCTCTCTCTCTCTCNCACACACACACACACACACACACACACACACACACACACACACACACACACACACACACACACACACACAACCAGAAACGACAAGGGCCATGCGTTAACCTGAATGATAAATTTGATATTAAAAAAAACGCAGAAACAGAATACTGGTGATTAATACTCCTTTTCCACAAGGCAAGTCATTGAGTAAGTGATAAGTCTATTCATAACATTAGCAATGTCCCAACCTGAAATCCAGTTGCAAATCAAGAGGTTTGCTGCAGAACCAGCATACCAGCGAAGCCAGTGCTTATCACCTCAACAGAGAGATATTCATCCACCTGAATAATCTAAACCATAAGACACACACACACACACACACACACACACACACACACACACACACACACACACAACAGTGTAATACAAATCTTATTCTAGGGTACATAAAATGGTGATGGTAATGTAACCTCGCGAATAGCTAGCCCAGATCCACTAACCTGGCCCCAATAAATCCATGCTTTGTGTCCAATGATCACTTGTTTCCCATTGATCCCTTTTCCAATCAACCACGACACTACAGAACGATCATGTGTTGTAAGACCTCGCACAGAAAAAAGGAAAAGTCAAACAGATTTGTTACTACACAGCCATGTCCATCGTTGACTGTGCAAACTAGACAGTCAATGAAATCGTAGCCGCAGTCCTGAGAAAGAACTCACATTTTGTGGGTCGTAGTTGGTGACTTTTGCTTCATACATAAGATCATCATCTGGCCATCTTGTTCTAAGTCTCCTGCCAATAAATGCATCCTGAGGGGGGGGAACGCCTGCCTCTGCAGACCCTGTAGAAGCCCCACTGGTTGTCGCCTTGGTGGTCCCACCCCCTGCCGATGGAGGGACAGCCAGTTGCTGAAAGAAGACGACATGCACAGACCTCACAAATCTGTCAATCAAAAAGCAACGACTTCTAGATGGCAATCTCAAATGGAGGAAAGGTTGACGCAAAGCCTTGTCAATGCACAGACCAGCAAAACTAGCAAACGCATCGCCCAGCCATTAACACACGATGTAGTAACGAATTTAGGCTAACAGGTCGGACCTGCCACGGCTTCGCTCGCAGAGAAGCTAGTACAGCCACACATGGGAGGAAATTGCCCACAGAGGGCAGAAGGAATTAAGTGTTTCAACTTTCGAGTCACCATAGAACCATCGTGCACAGAAAGACATATCAGATGCCGTATATTCAACCAAGTACAGAACACTGACGGTCGTGGTTTGCAGATGCTTTGCACTGAGCAGCATCTGCCTCCTCTTCTCCCTTCCCCGCCCGCCTGTTGATCATCTCCTCCCATGACAGCAGGCTGACATCATTCTCTCTCTCTCTCTCTCTCTCTCTCTCTCTCTCTCTCTCTCTCTCTCTCTCTCTCTCTCTCTCTCTCTCTCTCTT